TCTGCGTGCTTCTAAAGCTCTTAGGATCCTCCTCAGCTTCTCCTCAGGAGGATGTAAGTGGTCCTCGCTGAGCCATGCCTACCTGGTGTGGGACTGTCGGGTGCTTTCCAGGTGGTTCACCACTGGCCATATGCTCCTTTTGAAGCTAGTGGGTTTTCTTCTCTTAATTTTCTGCTTTTCCTGACCTCCTGTGTTCTAGACTGACGTGAATATATTTTGTCATCAATCAGTCCCTGCCTGAAACAATTTTTTTCTTTAATACTTGTTCAAACAGAAATTCAGATAAAGGTGTCCCATTTGCATGCAACAGGAAATGCCTGCCTTCTTTTCAGATACCCCTGCAAATACTCCACGCTGATTTCCTCAGCCTTGAACAGACATGCTAGGTCAAACAAATACAAAAATAAAGGGACTAATTCACCCGGTCCTACTATGCTCTCCCAAAGTCTTCATTAATGCAGCTGGCCAAAGGCTCATATCAGGCATGATCAACAGAGCTAGAGGAGCTCAAAGCTCATGTCGTGATGGATGTCTCCCACGAAACAGAGCCAGGTCCTTCTGTTGTCTAGTCTTTGGGCCTAGGGATCATTTTTCTCACCTTTGAGAAGTTGTAGGCATGAACTTGTGTGTATCTTCCCACTGCAAAGAGCCACTTCCACATTTATCTCAGCTCTTACTTTGTCCTGCTTGGAAGATGATGGCATTAGAAATGCTTCTGAAGTAGGCTCTCCAAATGCTTTTGCTTCCAGCCTACCTCTTTCATCCAGAGTAATCAGCCATCCAGCTTATGATTAAGCCACTGGTGACCACGTGCATGACTCCAAGTGGAGAGACCCGATTTATGTGCTAGAGGGTTTACCAGTCAGTAGTCGCTCTGAGAATGTATATCCACAGGCATAAATTCCCTAAAGAAAAGGAGAATAGATAGCATGTATGGATATGTTTCTTTTTGTTAGGAGTGGCTTTGGGTCTGGAGATCTGGATCGTTGGAGGACCCAGTGTGAACGTTGAGTTGAAGACCGCCCTGAAATGCCAATATGTGCAGCAGGCTAGTGTGTCCCCTTGATGCGAGATGTCGTCGTGTGGCATTTCAGCTGCAGAAGGGCAGTTTCATTGAACGTGAGGCCCGGTGTGCTTCTCAAAACAGCATATACCTTTGCCTCGCTAGCAATTGCAGCCAGTGGAAAGCAGTTTGGGTTGGGTTCAGCAACCTCGGCCTCTCTCAGTTGTTAGTGCCTCCTACCTAATTGCTCTCGGAGAGGAAGAGTGTGCTGAACTGCTAAGAAACATCTGAATGGAAGGAAGTTGTGTCCTCCTCTCAGCCATACCCAGAAGCCCTCTCAGTCTCAACACGACCCCAGTCCCTGGAGTTACTCCGATCGCTTTGGCACGTTGCTCTCCCGTCCTCATCAGGCACGTCCCCAGCACGCAGCCACGTGGACTCTTTCCTGCTGGCATGCGAGGTTGTGTCAAAAGTGCAAACGCAGGTGTCCACCCTGGTCTTTTAGTAGCAATTAACCTTTCCTCCTGGGTTCCTTTTGAAGCTTGCTCATGTTTTTATTGCAAAATAGCGGTGAAGAATTTTATGGAGGCTAATATCTAAGATTCCACATTACCTAATCTCATCTGTTCCCTTATCAGGGGCCTTGATTTTTATTTCATCCCGTTTCTAGCGGGGATAATTATTGCACTTGAAAGAAGCCATCTTGAATTTCAAAAGTACAGTGTTATCTGTGCAAATGACTTGCAGTTCATTGGGAAAACAACGTTTATCAGCACAGTCCCTGGGTTTAATTCTAAACTTGCAAAGAATTTCTATCCACAATTCTCCTGTAAACCCCTCTCATCCATGTGGGTGTAAATTAAGGGGAGTAGTCCCACACCTTTTGAAAACAAAGAGCAGATCCTTGGTCTGCATGCATTGATTTTAATATAGCTCCTTCTGTCATTAATTTCACAAATATATCTTAATGGTCTTCCTGTCTCTTGGTCAGTCGTAATTTAACTTCTTGTTTATTTTGAGGTTTTGAAACATTTTTTTTGCTAGAATATGTTGCTATTTCAGGCAGAATTATATTTCAGCAATCTGTTTTACCCACACTGTTAGGGCTTTGGGGCATATGGGCGTATTATATTTTCCAGAGCTTTCAAACCGAAAGCCCATGTTTAACGACGACATTGGGTGTGGCTGCTGGAAATCAAAGGAGGCACAATAGACCCAGCAAACGGACTTGTCTCTCTGCCAGGCTTCCAGAGGCAAATTTATCAGCTGCAGGTTTGACCCTATATGGCTAAAAATGAGCGTAGCCAGAATGACTCTGATAAGTATAACCGAGGCCTTTGAGACTGCGAGACAGAAATTAAACTGGACTGTCCCCGGGGGAGAAGAAACATCTGTAAAGCTGTGCTTGCTATATATTTAAGGCTCAGCTTGTGCTGGCTTGTGGGCAGGAGCTGGTGGTGCGCCGGTCTGATAATGGTGACCCTTTGAGGAAAAGCACAGAGCAGGTTGTTGCTGGCTGTGGCTTAAATGATTTGGCTGAGTTGTTTTTTAGTTTGGTGGAGGAGAGTTGAGCATGTCTGTGGAGCACAGGGAGAGCTTTGGTTTTATGGGGCGCTTCTTGGTGCGATGGGGACAGCAGCAGTGACTGTGTGGGATGGGCTTTTTAAGGAGTCTGAGTGTCAGCACCCAGCTGTCATGGAAAATCAGTTTGATTTAAATGCCTGAAGTTTTTACCCCGCCCTTCCAGTGAGCCATGTGCTTATCATCATTCAGATCACTTTCCTTGCGTGATTTTTCTTCCTGCACCCCATGTGTATACACGAGTTAGGGTTTGGGGTTTTTTCCCCCCACTCTGTTTCAAAAACAGCTGAAGTCTTTTAGGCAGGCCTGAAATCTAAACAGTCAGGGGAAGACATCTGAATGAGAGCAAGCCTGCCCTGGGTGGAGTCGGTATTGCTGCTGGCCTTTTGAAATTGGGGGGTGCATTGGAGCATCAGGGATGCTGGGCAGGCACAGACCAACCTCTCTCACCCTGCCCACCTCGCTGGAGCCAGACCCATGTTTGGCAGCAGCAGCAGAGTAACAGCAATAGCTGCCGACTTGGTCGTGTCAGTGCAGGGCAGAATGAATGGTGGCATCCAGGTGGAGCTGTGTCTCTACCCTTTTCACATCTTTCCTGTCCCCTGGAGTCCAGGTTGTTTTACTGTGGGCAGAAGTGTGTGGGCATGGGTTCATAGGTGCTGGGCACAGAGCAAGATCTCTGCATTGGTGCTTTCGCAAGCATGTTTGCCATCCAAACTCGGCACCCCTGGGCTATGGCAGGCAAGGCTTCTGAAGTGTAAGCGATGGAAAATCCTTCTGTGTGTCCTTCTCAGCTAAATGGTAGAGTCAGTCAAGATATTCTGCTTCTCAGAAAGCCAGGTATTAGAAAATTGACAAACCAATCAATATTGGGTTCAATCCTTAAAGTGCAGGGACGGTCTGCCAAACCAGAGGCCGAGGGAATGGGTAGCTGAACTTTCTTGTGACATGTATGAGGTCATAGCCAGTGCCACATAAAAGAAAGAAAAACAGTTCATGGCTGTGAATAAATTGCTCACAGATGAAGAATCTAGTTTGCCAGTCATGTGATGGGAGCAATCTATTCAAATGATTTGTTATGTCCCAGTGTTTGTCTTAGGCAGTACCAGAAGCATGAAAGTACAGATATAAAACTGTGAGATAATATGTAACAGAGATGTGAGAGATAATGGACTATGACCAGTTTCCAGTGGAAAAGGCATACGGTGCTAATCTACCATGGATAGTTTCTTAAATGAGCAAGAAATTGAAATAACATTTTAAAGTTTCCTGTTTCTTCACTGAAACGGAGTCATTCTGAACGCCAAGCCCAGCGTAACGCTTTAATTTCTGGGCCAACCATATTATGCAAATATCCTCATGCTTAGATCTTAAAACACTTGATCTTTCAACTTCATTCCTTGGAGAATAGTATTCTTGCCTTCTATTTAGGTTAGACTTAAGTGGAATGAGTTTTGGTGTGTAGGAAAAGTAAAGTAACATTAATAAAGTTAAATGAATGTAAATAAGTTTTTTATGGTAGCTTGTCTTTTTGCTCCTTTTGCATGTATTATTGCATGGAGTACTGTCTTGCTGGTGCAGCTAAAGCCCTCGCTAAAGTCACTCACAGTTTTTTTTGACTAAAAGGAATTTACAATCAGCTTTACATATTGATCTGTCAAAAATAGTGAGTTTTTCTTTGTTTCTTCTTTTCTTTTCTTTTTGTTTGCTGGCAAAGCCCCAGGGATGAAGGTTAGGGTTTTTTTCATGTGTTTTGGATCTGCCCCAGGTTTTTTCTGCAACTGTAAGAGGAGAAGGTTCATGTTCTCTATAAGGTGCTGTTTAGATCCTGAACTTATTTTAGACCACTGCTTTTTCTGGAGGTCAATAGCAAGGCACTGATTTACATCAGCTGAATCTTTTGCCAAAAGTTGTGTGGTAGGCTGGATCCTTTCCTCCAATGACTAATTGGAGGCCATCAAACTTAATTTTGGCTACTTTAAGTTCAGTCTGTCTCTCTGAAAGACCAGTAAAGCTTTCCTGCTTTTCACTTCACTTAGATTTCAGTTGTAACGTATAATGCTGCCTTTCAATTGTAATTTCAAAGAGTATGCAACGTGAAGCGCTGTATCCGGACCAGATTGGACAATAGGGTGTGCCTGCGTATACATCTGTATGTAATTCCCTCGCTTGTGTTCAATGATGCAAACCACTTTTGATGTCAGGAATATTGAGAAACACTGTGTAGCCCCAGGCCTACAATAGGGAAAAGGCTTCAGCTCCTTCCAGGGTGAGGTTCTGCTGCAGCACTAGTGATTGATGAAGGTGCCGCCCGCCTACCAAACTGTCCTCTCCACTTCATGTGCAGGCTGAAAGGGTTTCATGTGCAAAATCTGTCAGGATATCTCAAACCCTACTGTTTGGCTTTATTTTCCAGGTGATGAATGTTTGTATGAAAGCTTTCCTGAACTTCCTTTGGAGGAAGCACCAGAAGCTGATGGAGAGGCTACAAACGTCCAGTGTCCAACGTCCGTCAGCATTCAAGAGCCGCCTTCTCCAGCAACCTCCAGCGAAGCTTTCACACCAAAGGAGAGCTCCCCTTACAAGGCTCCAATATACATTCCCGATGACATTCCTATTCCTTCAGAGTTTGAGCTCCGAGAATCCAACATTCCTGGAGCAGGATTAGGGATATGGACCAAAAGGAAGATTGAAGCAGGGGAAAAATTTGGCCCTTTCGTAGGAGAGCAGCGGCCACACCTCAAAGACCCAAGTTACGGTTGGGAGGTAAGGCACTGTGCATTCTTGTGGTCTGTTGAACTCTCTTGCCTGTCTGTAAATATAGAAGTATTTCAGAATTTGAGCCCTATCCTGCAGCAGTCGCGGGATATTTGTGTGTGCGAAGACTGCTTAGCGACCTTTTGGGGCTTTCTGGGTGGAAACAAACGTAAATTAAACAAAGGAAAAAGAAAAAGGGCAGAAATTATTGTTGCTTTTCAGGCATAAAATCTAGGTGGTTACTGGAGGATGATGCCTCGTTTGGGGAAGGACAGGAAGTTGCATTGTTGGAACATTTTGGTACCATTTTTAATCTGCTCTTGGAAAGCCCTGCAGTATGTCTGTGGGTGAGGGATTTGCAAATGACACGGCACTATCCGTTTGAATCACCACTTCCTGTCATTAATGATTAAAATAGTCCTAAAATCTATTGTTGAGCAGCTAAAATTTCTATTGCAGAACCTTGTGCTACTTGGGGACTTTGAAAGCTGGGGGTTTGATCATGCTTCCATTCAACCTAACGGGAATTTTGCCATTCATTTGGTCAAGTATGTTTGGATGCTGGTGTCAAACCTAGAACCCGTGGGGATGATGTAGCTCATGTTACTTCTGCAGATGCTCTGAGAAACGTTGCTTTTCCTGAAGGAGCTCAAGGCCTCCTTTGGTGAGCAGAGCAGCAGCCTCTTGCTTTCACTACCTACAAGGGCAACATGTTTTCCTTGTTGTGATATTCCGACTGACTTGCGGGTCCATGGTCAGGTCAGGGCTTTAGCCTTAAGTGGTGCACGTTGCCAGTTGTGTTATGGCGTAGCAAGTATTCTCGCATGGTTTTATTCATAGTTTTAACAATGTGCTGTAGAAACAAAGTGCAATCTCAGCTTTCCATCTGCACGTTTCCTTTGGTTTCTGATAAGGAGAAAAGCGCGGAGTTTGCATGGCTCTCCAGGGACACTACTGACCTCTGGAGAGATAGGAGGTTTGTTTTCTCAGGAAAAATGGGATTTTGTTGTGGAGCAGAGCCTTGGAGTTATGGTGGAAAACAGAGGTTTGATTTGCTCTTAACCATTCATAAATACTCAGTGAGTTCATTCCAAACTTTCCATCCAGTTGTTTAAACTCTTGTGAGACCTGTGACAATATGACAGAATAGTGTCATGAGAAATTATAGACCTGGCAGCACTCTATCGAGTTAACAGACCCTGATGCAATATAATTGCTGGTGAGAAATCTCGATAATTTGAAAAAGGCACCAGGAAACCATAAAATCTGACCTTTAACCACGCCACAGTCAAACTCAGATATTGATAACAGAAATTGGGGCAAAACTGCTGAGACATGGCACTAGTTGCAGGTTTAATGTATTTCAAAATTAGGATATTTTAGACTGGATTCTCAGGTAGTGTTGTGCAGGACAGCCCCACTAAAACTGAGGGAAACCCATCTTGATTTTCACACCCTTAGATGCTGATAATATGCTGCAATATTAAAGACTAGTTTTCCTGCTTAAAATATTTAGGATTTTGAGGTCTACGAAATGCAGACAAGCGACTGCATGTCTTGATGGTGCTGGAAGTCCAGCTGGCAGGTTGAATCCCTTTCAAGCTGCAGGGCTCGTGCCATTTGAATAGTATTATTTATTTGGGACATTTGGGGAGAAGCTATTGAAAAGTGTTGGAGCAAAATCACACAAAATCAACAGTCAAGTCCCTCTGCAACTTGGCCACTCATCTAGAAGTATTCTGCTATGCTCAGGGGAGCTTGAAACAGAATATTTTTCCAAAAAGTGGGTTAAGTGCATTTATTGTAATTTAAGTAAGACCAAGAAATGTTGGTTACCAGAGTTTGAACAATGAGTACTGGCACATAGTAAAGGTTAAGGCTAAAGGGCAGATGTAGGGGAGACCTGGCAGTGCTGGAGAAGACCTTACTAGTGCCCATCCCAGACCAGATGCTCATCCTCACATTGCTCTGGAAACCACCACTTCCTGGGACCTGTGCCTTGCAAAAAAAGGATAGAGAAGCTGTTACTGGTGTGTGTGCTCAGGCAGTGTCAAAGGAGGTGTGGGAGGGTGAGGGAAAGGGGTCATATCCCAAAAAGAAATTTGTTTGTCTGCCTGAATGGGTGCTTCAATGAAACGGGACCTTTGTCCTGCCAAGTCTCAGTAAGTCACTCAACAAATGGGAAATTCAGTCTCCTGTTGCTGATATCAAGACAAAATTTCATTATTGTATTTTAAATGGAGGAAGGATGAAACCAAAGTTTCTCTGTGGTACTGACTGTGGGTTTAAGGGACTTTGTAGTATGAGATTTTAAATTTTTTTTTTCCACAATGATATTTGCTTGATGAGTGGACTGTACTGATATAGCTACTGGCATGATGTTCTCTTATATTTTCTTATATGTAATTCCTGTTTCATAGAGGAGGTCAGCTCTGTGTTGTGGTTGCAAAAGGTGAGATATCTCAACGTACTTAAAATGATTGCTGGTCCCAGGGGCCAAAGAAACCGTTTTCAGGCCTGGCTTTTACTCATTTCTTCACATGTGCATTGCTCGGAGAAATACATAGTGAGGTTGCAACATAGCTAATGCTTTTGTGTACTTATTTAGTTCTCTTGAATAGACTCCCCCGTGGCTACGGAGAGAATGATTAAGTTATTGGAAAAATCAATTTTTTCATTTTATGTGCATTTTTCTGAGTTTAAGGTGAGATGCTGAATGTACAAAGGTGTTTGACTTTCAAAGATGATGAAGGATAAATCTCTCCAGGAAAATAATCATCATAAAGGTATTTTAATATTTTTGGAAGGAAAGCTGAGCATCTTCCTCAGCTGTTTTCTGAAGCTGCATATATTCCTGATTTTTCTATGAAAGATTTCCTCCTTTTTTGCAGTTGTTTAGGATTACTAGGTAGAGTCTTAAACTACAAAGTTTCAAATCGAACCCCTACATGCATATTGCAGGGAAGAGTTTATAGCTACACACACATTTGAACTGTAACTACATTCTTGGAAAGGACTTTTTTACTCCCTTGCAAAAGGTTGTCATAATTTTGGGTATTTCCAGCTGTGGGATACTTCTGACTTCCAGTTTTTGTGACTGATGTCCGTCTGAGTTGATACTAGGATTAGTCTGTAGCGGTTGGGAGAGAAGTATAAGCTGGAGGAACTGTTGCTGTTGAATTTTGCAGCAAGGCAGCTGATGATAAAGGAAAAAGTGCTGCAAAAGGCTGAGGTATTTCATGGGGCTTATTCCTGTGTTCCCCTATAGCTAGACTCCCTATGGCATCGACGTAGAGTTTTCTCAGAGCAAGTCCAAGAAAACAATGTCTATTGTGTCCATTTATATACTTGAGCCATAAAACACACTCTGGGACAAAGAGAATTTGTTGTGGTATAGTTGTGCCTGGGTCATGATTAGAGTGCTGTAGACCAGTTTAAATGAAAAGCCATAAATTTGAATTTTATCTCATTTTGTGGGTCTAGAGCAGAGCATTATCTAATCAAGTATTGGTTAGCTAGAGTACAAATCGAACAGGGGGTCACCGGACAAGGGGAAAGGTCGAGCTTTTTTGCAGTTTGTCACTGGGGTTTTAGTATTTGCCGGCAGCCCGAATATCCGAGGGGGTCGGGAGGCTGTTGCTCAGTGGTTGTTTGAAAAGGGAAAATTGACTGCTGCTTAATCAACAAAGAAAACAAGCTTTTAAGGGATGGCAGTAATTTTTTTTTTTTTTTAAACAAAAGCAAGGGAACACAAACTTAGTGATTTCATCATGGTTCATGCCCTGCTATGAAAAACAACTGGGAGAGTATTTCGAAGGAAGCCTTTGAATAGGTCACCAAAGCACGTGCACCTATCTTCCTTCGGCATCTTTGAGAGTACAGCAAATTTTCAAATTCAGGTCTCTCACTGCTGTAACAAACTTAGAGTAGTCTTACTGATAAGGAGAATTTCTTCACAGTTCTTTTTATCGTAAACTTTTATTTCTTTACTATGAAGGCAAAGACAAGAGCAATAAACTCTAATAAATCAAACTTGTCACAGAAGTAAAAAATCTTTTAGAGCTTTTTAGAAAGCAGCACATAATCTGTTTCTAGAGAAGAGGATATTTGCCTGTCCTGACAGTGAGTCTGGAAAACCTGTTGAATTTGGTAGAATATGCTTGAGCTGACTCTATTACTTCTAAATGGAAATTAGGAGGCCATTTGGCTGTTTATTTACTCCTCCCCTAATATTTTTGATGCCAGTCTTCCAGGAGAGCCATGCAGCTTCCTAAAAAATTGTTCTGGAATTCAGGGTTCCCCCTGATTTATAGGGACTGCAGTAGTTGCAATTGTAAGTTTCAATTCTGCACTCTTAGGCACTTTTTAAAATTTAAATTTAGGTTTATTTGAGATTCTGGGTTCTAGAAGTACCATCTCACTTTATGAAAATTAAGTAATAAGTTATCTATGTAAAAATGTAGAGGCATAGGCTTTTAGAGTCAGAATCTAACAAATATGCTCCCAAATCTGGGTTGTAGAGCCTAAACTGATATCTTGGTTTTCTTAGTCTTAGCATCTAAAACCTTCCACTATAATCAAGGAGAGTTACCTGCTGATTCCTCTCTATGTACAGATGTTATCCCATAGTTTGGGATCCTCCTTTGGAAAATCTTTTTCAGAATGTTGAAAGGAGCATCTGTGGCTTTCTTTTTTTTTTAAAAAAAAAAATAAAACAGGACAAAAAGTAGCATCTCCTAAATAACTGCACATGGGATTCACATGTTTTAAATTGTGTTAAACTATTCCTATTAAACAATGACAGTGCTGAGGAAATAATTCCCTTGTGGTCGGTGAAATCACACTGGGAGAGAGCAGCAGATTATGTCTTCTGCAAAATGGAAAAATAAAAGGAACAAAGACTTAATCACTTCTAAATATTTTTCTTTGGGATATGGAGTTTGTCCTAGTGTTAAATTAAAAAAACCCAACAACTTTTCTGGGGTTGTCTGACACTTTCACACTGTGTT